ATGACATCTAATCAAAACAGACCTTTTTATCTTCATTTTCTAGTTGTCCCTTTAATATGATGCACTGGAATTCTCTAAAGATTAATGGAGTTCCAATTACATGCCACTGTTGTTTCACTTATCATAATTTATACATGGCAGCATAAGTCTCTTGTACTCCTGATTTTCCCAGTTAACCCAGAGGGAATATCTTTGGGACTTCCTGAGGCCAACAAACAGGCAGCACTTATTCTAATGATTAAAGCTTGCCACACGCTTGCTAAGTGAAAATGAATGTATCCAATAAAAGAAATCAGGCTATCAAAACTGTAGAATCCACTGACACTCACCAAAAACTGTAATTAGAAATACTAAAATTTCAGCTTCTTCAGTGTATTATATCTGGGCTGGATTGTGACTGGAACTCAAATAGAGAGTTGTATACATATCTACAAACATTCCTCTAATTCCAGTTGGAGATGAATTTCACAAGTTCTCATTTCATAGGATTAAACTGGAAATCATGCATCGAGATTGAATGAATCCCAGTTTTTTAAAAAATGAGTCCTTTCAAGTTAAGAATTCATCAGTGCTTCTTGATTTGAATGTTCTGAATAACAACATTACTTGTTGTCGCATTATCCAATATACAATCCTTGGCATAAAATCCTCTTGATGTCTGATTACTCTTCATAAGGACCTCATGCTGATTCATTTCAAACCGTGAATTACCTTTAATTCATAGCTTGAACATGCTGCCAAATTTTGTTTTCTGTGCTCCCAGGTGGCTGTCCCTAACACAGTGGAGAACTTCCAAAAAGCCATTAGACACTTCTGAAAAGCAGTTAGATGTCAAGAAGCACATTTCCATTTTCAAACAGGCTTCCATGGAGTGCTACAATAATCTTTGGGATTAGAGGAATACTGGTATTTACTGAAATATGTTTAGAAGCATGAAGTGAAATCTTGGCCGAGCTGAAGCCAGCGGTGAGCCCCTTTTGAAAAACCCATGCAGAAATATCACATGAAAGTTTTCAGTCGCTTGTTTTGTTTTTGAGCCCACTGTATGTAGTTGTTCTCTAGCCCCTACACAGGTTGTGCATCATTAAGCATGATGGATCACAAAAATCCTATAAAGATAAAATGAGTTGTTTTTGTCTGATCCATAAGAATTTGCGGCTCTAAGTTTTTAATGGTTTCCGGTAGTTCACCGAGCCCATGAGAAGGACCTTTTAATACTGTATTAATACAGTAAGTATAGGAAGTCATTTTATGAGAAAGGAAGAATATCATTATGATTACATTCTTCTTTTTAGCTAGGCTTTTATGGAAACTACCCAAGACTACTCTGCAGTATGATTTCGAAACACAGGATGTGCTTGATCAAAAAGATTCTGGGTAGTTGCCAGCTGGACAGAGGCCAAATGCTAACAACCAAACAGAACAAAAGAACTGGATGTTTGAGGATGACATACTTGCAGTGGTAATTATATAACAGAAACCTAAGTCAAGAGTTGAGTAGGTACCCTTGAATTCATGGAAGCTGACAGAAAATCCTTCTCAGTGAAATTGGTTGCACCTTATCTGTGCCTGCTTACTGTGCTTCATAGCAAACTAATCGGAGTAGACTGGTTGTAAACTGACTGCACAATACCTAATCAATGGAGTTTTACAGTGAGTCTGAAGACAAAATGGGAAGCCAAGTGCCATAGTTTCACATAGCCTAATTTCAGCTATAAAAACTCACCACTGTACACACACACACACGCCCCCGCCTCAGAGTTCAAAATTTCATTTTCAAGAATTCTGAGTAGAAATTAAGGTCTGATTCTTTTCAATGAATCATTTAAATCAATAAAGGTCACTCATGTACAATGTAGGTGCAGAATTTAGACAGGATCCCAACTACTCTACCTACTATATGGCTTGCTGCAACGCATTGGGTGTTGGGTTTCTCTAGCATGTGGATGTGACAGAATACATTGAACAATTATAAAAAGGATGAAATTCGTATTTCAAAAAGCCTTACTTGAGACAAGTTAGGCAACCACAAGTCATATGTCTTGCATCACCCTACAAAAGCAAGGCATGGGTAAATGAATCCACCTTGCAGCAGGTGGTCTCTGTTCTTTCCCCTAGAAGTACACACCCGAAACATTGTCTTACAAAGATCATACATCTCTTCAGCCCGATATTCGATGATGTCAATGTTCCTACACCTGAATTCTGTAATAACACATGGGCAACTTTACCGTTGATGCAGAATATAGCATCAAGCAGGCCGAGCATCTTTGCTCGGCACACATCCCTAAACCAGTCATGGTGCTACTCAGAGATGCGGCAAATGCCAGCACATTAGCACCAATTCCTAAGATTTTCTAATGATGCCACTGGGATCTCTATGACTGTCAATAGGAGCAATATAAATGGAAAATATAACTTAGGTTTCACATGAATTGCATGTAAACTTAAAGAAGCTGGGGAATAACCCTTACTTTCTCTAGAAACTTGTCCAGGTTAAAATCGTCTCTAACAAAGGATATGGATGAACACAATTTCAGTGATAGCAGATCCAGTTAGCAGATAGCAAGTTGGCAAAATACACGACGAACTGGTGGTGGGTACAGTTTTGAAACCAGCGGTAAGATCGCTGTGAGATCGACAGTGTAACTACAAAGGTTACTGGTGGTAAGTAGGATTGTAATTTTACTCACACACTCTAATAACCCTGAAACTGTCCAACATTAGAAAGATTAAATCCTCCTTATTACAACTGCAATTTGTTAAATACTATACTATAAAATACACAATGACTGGGTTTATTTGGATCGCAAGAAACACCTCTAACTACTCAATAATGGCTTTTTTTTTTTCCCTCACTCTCTGCTTTAATTTCATTATGCCCAGTAATGTCCTCAAGTAGATAATTTCCATTGAAAGTGGTGGTAACTGCACATGCAGATCTAAAGAAACAAATTGGCCTTGTAATACCAAGTCTCACAGTGGACTGCCTCCTAACCTCCCAAAGCCCTGTGGAAATCCTTGGAAGCTGCCTTAACAATTTTTCTGTAGTAAAAGAGAAAAAGTGATGGTAACGGGTTAGCTGATCTTCATTTGGAAGCTAAAAATAAAAGTAGCTTTATTGCAGCTCGGATCTCTCATGTGTAAAATCTATCACCTACCATAAGAAGGCAGTTCATTGCAGCAGAAATCTGATTGATAGTACTGGAACTTTAGATCAAGCAGCAGAACAGAGAGCAACTGGTTCATAAAATGTACTCAGTGTCTTTGGGTTTTATATCAGGCTTCCTATAGAGAGCTTTGGTCCCATTAAATGCACTATATACCACTGAGCTCTGAAGCACTGTTCTTTTGAAATTCAGCTTATAACTATAAACCATGATTGACAAGTCTATTACTGTTGGTTACAAACTATTGAAATATTGTATTTTATGGTATACTCACTAAAAAATTTTTCACAGTGGAATCCAAATACACTTGCTTTAGGAGAAAAACCATTTAAAGATGTAATAATTTTTTTTTTCTTCACTAGAGAATGTGCTTGATGTTAGATTTGGATCACTTAGATGTTCTTAAAATGAATGCATGCATTCTGTTAACAAGAACAGTGAGTCTAGCTGGCTAGATTCTTTAGAAAAAAAACAGTCATTACCAGAAATAAAAATAGCAAAGGGGAAGAACTAATTTGATATTAACTTGGGTAAATAAATGCCATAAATGCTATCCATATGAATTAATCTATTTATCATTAGCATTCCTACCTAGTTCTAATTCAATATGAGGAAATAATATTTTATTTTAAGATTAATTAGGTGTTGAACATAATTTCGTAAAACTTTACTCTAGGAAGTAACTTTATTCAAATGCATACTTTCCTGATCTGACTTTACTCCTAAAGAAGTGGGCCTTCAGAGACTACTTATTAAACCAATGGAGCTGGGACACCCACAGTCTTGTCCCAGCTCTGCCACGGGCTTCTTTTGTGGTTATAGACAAACCACTGAAACCCAGTAAGTCCTTGTCTGTTCATAAATTTGCAGTAGTTTAAAAATCAATATATTTAAATTAATTTTAAAAAGCTATGTAGGTATCTCTGCATTGATTTTTCTTCCCCTATATGGATTTAATTTAAATTGTGTCCTTAGGAGATTAAGGAGACTCACTAGAATCATTTTGAAGTCATTTTAAATGAACACACTGTATTTACTCAAACCTCAGCTAAGCTGGTGTAGGTCTATATTCAGTAGTTTATGACCATTTGAACTGTAAAAAGATCACAGCGCTGAACTTAAATCGGACCAACACGTTTACGCCTCAAGTAAGTATCAAACAACAACCTACTTTTCAAGATTATTATTTAATTAATATTCACAAACTACTTCGAATTTCTGGGGTAAAGGTAAAAAATACAGTGCAGTCTCAACTGACTGCCACATTTTTCCAGTTTTACACCAGAGTAGCACCAAAGAAGAATGGTTTAACACAGTGGAGAATTAGCTTTTCCACAATTTTCAACTGTCATATTTATAAATCAGCTGTGATTTTCATCTAAGTGTATAAAATTCAAGACCTGCTTTTCAGTAACAGCAAGTAGAATCGTTCTGTACGATGTTTTTACTCTCCTTCACTATATAAATGCTAAATTCCTTGCATCATCTGTTCATTGGGTTGCATTTTCTATTGTAAGAGGCTTAGTATCTGATGAGAGAAACATAAAAGTGATTTAATTTTGGCAAGCTTTACAACTAAAATCAGCATTATTTCTGCTTAATAAACTCATCTTTCATAGATACCTCCGTTAGCTAATGCTTAAAAAGAAGAAACAGTAATAAGCACTGAAAACATAAAACTGGTTTATGGCTAATTTTTAAGCACCACTGAGAACACCTGAACACCAGGACAAGATTATGAGTAAGCTAGATTTCAGTTACCTTCGGAGAAATAACCTCTTTCTTTATGATAAATTTAAATCAAGATTTAAAGCTGGAAATAATACTCACGACTTTTGTGGCACTGACTTAGTTGCAACTTTCCCTGCTGGATCACTCCACTCTGCAAACAAAGGAAACGCATCTTCAAATGTCAAAAGATTACTCTAGAATTAAAATGCACCCAAAGCTGTCAGCCCATCTAATTATACTTGGTTTCACAACATGCCACAATGCATAACATGTAATAAAAAATGGAACTGATCTGCTTTAGCGCCACAGAAATTAATTTTTCAGCCTTTGTTTTAGTGATGTTAAGTAGGGAGAAAAAAAAAAAAAAAACCCAACCCTGACTGTTAGGACTAAGGATAATGAAGACCTACTTTGCACATTGTATCCTGAGGTCAGATGTTGGGAGTCCTACAAAGAAGAACACACAAAATGTCAGCATTAGTTAAATGAGATGAAGAAGGTAAGATACATCTTTGCTTGTAGATTAAGGGCGCTGGCATTACACAAACAGTGAAGGAGATTGCACAGGGAAGAGATCATGTGGCTGTTAAGGCAACACCAGTGACATCAGTTAAAAAAACCATTAACTGCAGAGACAGAGCACCACTGAGGGACACTTTTACAGTTCAGACAAGAGCTTGTCCTCAGCTGCTGTAAATCTACATACTCCCTTAGTGGAGTCACTGCACAGACTTATACCAGCCGTGGTCCGGCATTTTCAAGTCTTGGCTACGGACATGTGTGTGAGGCATCTGTGGTGTAAAATTTAGTCCTTAGCATGAATGCAGCTACGCATTAAATTCAGCGCCACTGCCTTTCTTTTTTGATCTTGTTGCTAGAAAACACAGTAACCTTTTACCCATAGCCACAGTGTTTTTATGTGGGCTGCGACATCTAGGATTTGATACAGACATAGGAGGCTGATCTCCACCTCATGGAAATTTGAGCAAATCCAATGAAATCGGTGGAACTACAGCAACTTTACCCCAGCGAAGGATGTGGCTGCACCACTGAGCTTGCGAATGCTGGGATTCTTGTTGACTCACAATAACTAAGCTGCTCCTTAATGTCACAGTGTTTTCTTGCTTAGTTTTTCTCTAGGCTTTACAGTCCACAACGATTGTAATCAGTTTTCCTTCCAAGCAGAGTTTGATGATTTGAAATTAAGGTGTTATTTACAACCTAGTCTTGCAGCCAGGCACTACTTTGCTGGAAGTGTTACTTCTGTAGGATGTTAAAGTCATTAAAGCCCTCGCTGCACTTCCTCTTAGGGCGTTATTAGTTCCTAATATTGTACTGTGCTGTCAGTCAGTCCCTTGTGAAGTAAATCATGCCCTAAGAGTAAAAATGGCACTTTAAATTTGAATGTCAAAAAGATAAATTGTTCTGATAAGTTCCGCCTTTTTTATCACACTTTTTAACATACATTTCTCATGAGGATACTTGTATGTTTTAGTTAAGTTGAGAACTTCAAATAGAGCCTGTCTTTGGTTTTATGGCTGCACAAGCTACCCATGTTGTGTCTAAGACTCAACAATTTGGCTAGCTATAATTGATTTAGTGTGATGCTCTGCAGAGACACATTGCTGTTATGTTTTTTTGCAGTAAAACTAACAAACTCTGAAACGTTTATGTGCTTGCCTATTTCCTGAAATGCTAGCTTAAAAAAATCTAATTTATATTTTATATTAAAGTCATATGGTCAACAATTTTAAGATCAACATTTAACCTGCCCAGAAATGATTAACTTTGATGTGGATCTTAAAAGTTCAAAGAAAACTTAATAGGAACAGAAAAACAAAACAAAACAAGATTTTAGTTTCTCTGAGCCTGTGATTATATTGCTCTCAGTTGAGATAGTGGCAGTCTGCAGGACAGAGACCTGTTTATGTAGAGCCCATTAAAAATACAGCACTAAATTAAGAGATGGCATAAATTAGAAGAATAAAGCTTCCAATAGGCCAAAACTGTACTGGCACTTATATATGCATGCACACAGGTATGAATCCACTTTCACCTAAAACAGGTTCAACTGACTTTAACCAGGTTTACAGTGAGGATTACACCTTTGCATGATTATGACTTATGATGCTTAATGAAGAAGCAGTTAACTGAACTGATATTGGCAGTGCTGGAGCAGTAACAATCACCTTCTCTTAAAATAAGGCATTGTAGGCACTGGCTTTGTTTTTTAAGGACCATAGATGTTCCTAATTTCCTATGATTTCCAATTACGTATGGAGGCTGCATTTCAGACATGGAAAATATCTGCCAAATAGATAAAATCAGTAAGGGGAAAATCACATTCCAGCTTCTAAAACAGGATATGATTGCTTGAATCATAATGGCAAGTAGTACCAGTACAGCTTTATAAGCTGTTTTGCAAGGCCCTGCCTCTAGAAGGAAACTCCTATATAGCCCCGTGTCAGATTGCTGTAGTTTTTCTATCCCGGAGAAGTTCTCCCTTCCCCAAACATCATCAGCTTGTTGCTGTTCAGATCCCAGCAAACAATACCTTTGGCAACGACTGCCTTGGTTGGGAGCTCTAGCTCTAACTGTGCTACCAGACTTGTAGCTAGAAAGCAACAACAGAACTTGGGCTCAAGACATGGTCAAATGACGGTGGCTTAACACTTCACTGCATGTCAGGTGAACTGCAAGTACTCTCCAGGCTTTTAACGTGGCAAATGCCGAGTGCAATGCTTTTAACAAGGCAGATACTAGGGATCACATTTGTACAGCTCTCTGTCTGCTGGTACTTGGGAGTGTGCAGGCAGATAAATGCTAGAGCTCGGTTCACATGGAGAAACTTTTTTAGTCCCACTAAGTTGATCATGCAGCCTAAACCCCATCAGGCAGTCAATCATTGGAAGGAACAGAAGACCAATTTAGCCATTGCGTTACACAAATAGTGATGAAAGAAAAATAAACAAATAAAATATGTTGTACTTATGTAGAAAGACTCTTATAAAAACAAAGATAAGGTTCACTTTTCCTCTGCTATAACTTCTGCAGCTTTAAATAAGCAGCTCTTCTAGTAACAACAGTTCGGGAACTTCCAACTAAAAATAATCTTCGAAATTTCTGAAAATGGAACAATTACAAAAATAAACTCTCCAGCAAAGAACACTCAACAGAACAGCATGTTAATCAGGTCACTGTTAATAGCCTTGTACCTTGCTTGGGATAGAAAACTTGGTCTGCTCAGCCTTGCCAGGAGTGTGAATAGCAGTAAGAGGAGGAGGCCAGGAATGGGTCATTTCCTAGGAAAGAAAAAAAACATGTTTTTGAAAACAAATTCATATAAGTAAAGAAGAAAAGAAAGAGAGGGAAAATGATCACATATTCTCCACCGAACTTGAGGGATGCACTTGCTTAGGAAGTATCACCGTCTATTGTTACCTGGCAGATAAACACCTTAACTACCCTGTCGGGGTTCCTACTGTTCCTACTGGCAACACTTCCTGGGAAAAAGGGTGACAACAGGCTATACTAATGGAGATTTCAACCATGTGTGCTTGTATATTCCACTTCCATGGTCAACCTGTCAAGTTATATGGATGAAGCCATCATTAAGAGTTTTACAATGAGGTTTCATCTGCAAAGCCCAAGCAGGAAGTGGATCCTTCCTGGACTGGATAGGTACCCTACAGAGGATTGCATCTCCATGGCGGCAGAATAAGCCAGAGCCAGGTCTGAAAAGCTGGAGCAGGATTGGAGCGTGAGTGCCTGGCATAGATGAGGGGCTGATGGTGTCCTAAGGGCCAAAGTGTTTTCTCATAGCGTTGGCCGTTGGCACTTAACTGTGGCATGCAATGTCGAGTACTGGAGCACTCTGCAAGTGTGAGGAAGTGTTACCAATCCCATTTTATGATAAGGGACTGAGCGAGTTGGTGACTTGCCCAAGGTTACACACAAAGCCTGAAGTTAGGTTGGAAACGCAAGTCTTGGGTGAAGACCTGAACTGGATCATCTAAGCAACAGGCCCACTCTCTGTATCAATGATGTGATGAATCATCATTTAAACACACGTTCCAACCGTCTTCAAAGAAACTACCTGCCTGCCCATGGCTATGAAACACAAAAAGAGGAGAAAGTTCATACCATGCCTGCTCTTACT